CTGGGAAGAGAGCTGGTAGGGTCATTAGAACACAGGATGTCAGAGCTGGGAGGGCCCTTAGGACACAGGATGACAGAGCTAGGAGGGTCCTTAGAACACAGAATGTCAGGGATGGGAGGGCCCCTAGAACGTAGGATGTCAAAGCCAGAAGAAATCTTGGAACATAGACTGTCAGAAATGCAAAGTACTGTAGAAATCATATAATCCTAATCCTTACTTTTATGGTCAATAGATCTAGAAGGTGCCCTCAACTCTTTGAGTTGATTTGCTTCCACAGAGTAATTATGAGAGGGCAAGAGTCATGTGGGATGAAGAGACATGGATAGCAATAGTCATTTGAAAAAATTCTCTAAATTGCTAATAATTAGAGAAATACACATTAAAACAATTCTGAAACACAACACAACCATCTGATTGGCAAAGTTGTGTGTTTCCCCTCCCCCCCAAAAAAAGGAAAATGACAAATGCTGGAGGAGCTGTGATAAAGCAGGTATTTTAACGCACTCTGAATTGGCCCACCCATTCTTAAAAGCAATTTGGAACTATGCTCCCCCAAAATATTCAACTGTGCATTCCATTTGACCCAGTTAGACCAGTGCTAGGTCTGCACCCCAAAAAGATCAAAGAAAGGGAAAAGGAACCCATATATACAAATATTTGGAGCAGCTCTTTTTGCAGTGTCAAAGAATTGGAGACTGAGGGAGAGCCCATCTATTGGGGAATGATTGAACAAGTTGTGACATGGATATCGGTGGTAACTGTAAAGAAATCAAAAGGCATCAAGAAAACTTTAATATGAAAGATGTTGCTGAGGTTACAATAATAAATGAAGTCGACATAGTCCTGTAACATTTGCAAAATGTCATACATCTGTTTTCTCATCTAAGTCTCACTCCAACCTTGTGAAGTAGGTGCTTTGGTTATTATTATCTCCATTTTACAAATGAGGAAATTGAGGCTATGAGGTTAAGTGGCTTGCCCAAGGTCACAATGCTAGTGAGGGTCTGAGGAGGATTTGAACCCAGGTTTTCCTGTTTCCAGGTTACATGTTTTCTTCTGGACACCATACTGCCTTGTGTTTGATGCCCCCCATATACACACAACTTAGAAACACTGGGATAAAATCCACCAAGCCCCTTCCCTTGACTCTGGGGAGATTGTGTTTGACCTTCCATTCAAATACATCCTCTCTCTTGTAGCCCCTTCTGCTGTGTCCATCGTGCACCAAGTGAGCCGGACGGTGGACAGCATGACTTTGTCCTGGTCCCAGCCTGACCAGCCCAACGGTGTCATCCTTGACTATGAACTACAGTACTACGAAAAGGTAACCTAGGCTTCAGGGCATTCTGTATTCTCCCCCCGCCCAGCAGGGGCAAGCAACGCATCCCATCTGCGACAAGCACCCCAAACCCTTGTCTGGCTGAGGACCCCCTCATTCCCTGCCTTTAGGGTTTGTGTTTGTGACAGTGCCAGAGGTCAATGTTCCATTCAATATTTCTACCAAGGGATGAAGGGAATGAGAAAAGTTTTCTTAAAAGAATTGGTGTTTACCATGTTCTGAGCACTGGAGATACCACTAGAAAAGTGAGAGAATCCCTGCCCTCAGGGAGCTCACATTCTCATAGGAGAAGGCAATACACGTTGGGCATTTCAGCTACAATTCCGATGGAAGAGCTCCATGACCTTTAGGGAAGACGCTTCTTTATGTATTTCCCACTACATATCTATGCCTAATGTTGAATCACCTGAGAATGTCAAGGACTTGGATGATGAGAACTTTCTCTCCCAGGTCTTTGATAGCTGTAGCTACTAAGGAAGTGGGAGCTGAAGGGCTGGCTTAGAGATGACTTGGAACCACAGTTCTCAAAGAGGAATCCAGGGACCCCTGGAGGCCCTCAGACCTGTGGGTGGGATTGGGGCAGAAATCTACAAGGTTAAAACTATTTTCCTAATAGTATGAAAATATTTAAATGTCTAATACAGTCAATATCAGTCAATATAAACCACCTAAACAAAAGCTCAATAGTTTTATAAGAGTATGAAAGGGTCCGAAGACCAGAAAGGTTGAGGACCGCGGACTCAGATAAAAGTGGAGATACCTTTCTTATCAGATTTGCAGGTAACACAAAGGTGGGCAGGATAGCTAATGCATTGGATGGCAGAATCTGGTTCCCAAATGCACGTGGTAGGCTAGGATGTTGGGCAAAATCTAATAAGCCAATATGGAAGCAGGATAAGTTTAAAATCTTACACGTGGGTTCAACAAATTCAGTTAGACAAGTAGCAGATGGGGGAGGTGGGACTAGACAAGAATTCATCTGAGAAAGATCAAGGGACTGGGCTGGTGGTTTCATTGGTAACTTGGGTAAGGATACAGGTTGTTCCAGTGTAGGACAGCACCTTCTCTGCAGCTCATAGGCTCAAGGTTACCTGGAACCTCTAGAGGTGTCCAACACAAGACCCACAACATTCTTGAGTGTGGCCTCAACCAGATTAAAATGTTATGGGGGAGAATTTTCTTATTAAACAATTTACTTATTAATTTTTAGTTTTCAACATTCACTTCCATAAGATTTCTCCCCCTCCCCAAGGCAGTGTGCAATCTGATACAGGCTCTACTCATACATTCATATTAAACATATTTTCACATTAGTCATGATGTAAAGAATATTTAGAACCAATGGGAGGAACCACGAGAAAGAAGAAACAAAACAAAACAACAAAAGAAAAGGAGAGCAAATAGTATGTTTCCATCTGCATTCAGATTCCATAGTTCTTTCTCTGGATGTGGATAGCTTTTTCCATCGTGAGTCTTTTGGAGTTGCCTTTGATCCTTGCATTGCTGAGAAGAGCTAAGTCTATCAAAGTCAGTCATCACACAGTGTCATTGTTACTGTGTACAATGTTTTCCTGGTTCTGCTCACTTCACTCAGCATCAGACCATACAAGTCTTTCCAGGTTTTTCTGAAATCTGCCTACTCATCATTTCTTATAGTACAATAATATTCCATTACATTAACATACCACAACTTGTTCAGCCATTTTATGGGGGGGAAATTTAACAAAAATAAATAAAAATACAGTAAAACATACACAATGTTAACACGGCTAAGTCAACAGTCGACCCCCAGGGATCTTTATGTATGATGTAGTGGCCCCTGTTTCTACTCGAGTTTGATGTTGCTTATCTACGTCATTGACCAATTAAGTGACTTGCCCAGGGTCACACAGCCCACATGTGTCAGAAGTGGGGCTCAATTTTCCTCGGCTTCAAGGCCTCATTTCTACCCAACAGACCCCACTGCCTCTCACCAGTGAAGCAGGGCGGCCAAGAAGCTGGTGTGATCTTGGAACGTACCAACAGAAGTACATTGCCCAGAATGGGAAAACAAATCATCTCGTTGTCTTCTACCCTAGTCAGATTTCCTTGAGCATATTTTAGACAGCTGCCCATTTTAGGAGGCATCACAGGAACGTAGCTTCAGAGCAGGGAGGGACCTGAGAGGCCATCTAGCACAACCCCAACATGTTACAAATGAGGAAACTGACACCCAAAGAGGCCGTGTCTTGCTTAAGGTTCCACAAGTAATAAGCAATAAAGGCAGAATATGAACCCAGGTCCTCTGACTCCAATACCACTTCTTTTTTCACTGGAGCACCTCCAGAGGAGGATAACCAGGGTGGAGAGGGGACTGTAGCCCATCCTGGATCGGGATGTGTCAAAAGAAGGTGGAAAGAGACTGGAAAGTTGACATTTTAAGACAAATGTCATCAGTGTCTTCAAGATTGTGAAGGGATGCCAAGTGGAAAAGAGCCTTTGTTCTGCTTGGCCCCCAGAAAACAGAACTAGGATCAAAATAAGGAAAAACTTTTTGGAAATTGGGACATTCTAAAAGTGAAACAGGCTATCACTGGAGGTGATGATGCGCCATCATTGGAGACCTCCAAGTGGAGTCTACTTGAAGATGCCATAGTCAGGATTCCTAGTTAGTGATGGGTCAGGCTAGATGCCCTCTAAGGTTCTGTGATCTAATGTGATTCTGTGTTGTGAGCTCTCTTCCACTTCTTACATTTATGGACTCATTATATCAGAAAATTATCTTATTGAAAGCAGCAAATGGCTCACAAGAGGCAGAGGGGTTCTCTGGGAGTGACATTGGTCAATGGGGTATCAACCCTGAACCCCAGGGAGTAAGGAGTGGAAGGAACAGAATGGGTCCTCTCTACCCCCAGCCTGTACCTCACTGGTTGCTGAAGGGAACCCCTGGGTGAGAGTCAGCTGGAAGGAGACCAGACCAGATGCTCCCTTAAGTCAGAAAGCCCAGGACACAGCAGGACTCAGAGTTTCCCATTTCCCATTCCTACCATCCTGTCCCTCTGGCTATGGTTGCTATGGCTTAGCAACTATAAATTTAAAAAAAAAAGCTAATTAAAAGCTTTATGATTAAATGAATGGAGAATGTTTGTCCCCAAAGATGGGAGAGGAAATGATGAATCCCTTCCCATCCCTGCCTGTGACCTATTTTTTCCAGCACTCAGGGCTGGGCTGACGAGGCTGATGGAGGTGTGAAGTGAGAAGCGGGCCTTGCCCTACATTCAGCAGGCATCTGAGCTGTTTCCTTGACCCTCCAGAAGATGCCCTCTGATTGAGACAGACAGGCTGAGTTGGCTGAGTGCTGGTCTATAAATCAGCTCAGTCCTGAATGGAAAAGAGATTCCCTTGTAAGAGATCCTTTCTGTGTTCATCTGGTCTTTTGTGTTGTGTCCTTTTATCAGATAGATGTAGGGAAAGAGGGATGCGGGTCACAGAGGCGACACAAGGTAGTATCATTATAATTCCATTTTTGTGATGCTTTACAGTTTTCAAAGCTTTGTGACCCCCAGATTTCTAAATCCAACCTGAGTCTGTCTCCCATCCCCCCAGGCCCATGTACCAACTGCCTGTTAGACACTTCCCACTGAATGTCTCTTTGCCATCTCAAATTCGCCATGCCCAAAATGGCACTCATGCTTGTTTCCAACCAAACCCATTCCTTCCTCTGAACTTCTCTGTCAAAGGTACCACTATCCTTCCCATAACCCACAGTCATGACCTTGGAGTCCTTCTTGACTTTTCCCTTTCACACAACCCCCATAGTCTAACAGTTGCCAAGTCTCGTCAACTGTGCTCATCCATCTGGAAAATGGGGATAATAATCCATCCCCTTCTAGCCACTCACACAGCCACCTCCCCAGGCCAGGCTGTCATCATTTCTCTACTTCTGTCCACCAATTATCAAGGTTCACAACCTCTGTGCCGTCCTCAACTCGTCCCCTCCCCCACTCCACATACATAGTCAGTTTTGTTCATTTGACCCCACACAATTTCTCTTACATCTCTCCATCTCTCTCCACTTACATGGTATGAGCCTTCGTTATCTCTCACCTCAGTTACTGCAATAATGTCCTAATTGGGCTTGGTGACTCCAGCCTCTCCCCTCTCTACTCCTTCTTCTACCCAGCTGCCCAAATGATTTTCTGAACACAGAGCTCTGAGGATGCCACTCTCCTACTAAATAAATTCCAGGGGGTGGCTCCCTAGCACCTCTAGAAAAAATTTAATTGCCTCTGTTTGGGGTTTAAAGCCAAAACTTCATAATTTCATCGTGTGGTTCCAACCTTCCTTTCCAGCCTTATTATATAGGACTCCCCCCTCATGCATACACAACAGACCAGTCAGACTGGCCTTCTTGTGGTTCTTCTTTCACAACCCAGCATCCCCTGGCTGTCCCCTAGACCTGGAATGGCTCTCCCCTCACCTCTGGCTCTTAGACACCCCAGTGTCTTTCAAAGGACAAGCTCAGTTGCCACGTTCTGTATGAGTCCCTTACTGATCCCCCCAGCTTTAAGTAACCCCGACCAGAAAAAAAAAACTGTCTTGTGTATTTTTGTATGTCCCCCAATATAAAGTCAATTCCTTGATCACAAAGAGTCTTGCTGTTTGGTTTTATATTCACAGTAAAAGAGATGCTTAATAAGTGTCTATGGATTGATCACCTCTCATCTCAGCTGTTACTATTTCCTCCTAATTGTTCTGCCTGTCTGCCCCTTTCCATTCCATCCTCCATCCAACCACCAAACTGTCATTCCTAAAACAGAGAGATATTGAATACCGTGGGATTGAACCTGTAGAACGCATGAGTGGTACTAAGCTGGGGTCTAGGGCTTGGCCAATCAATCAACAAGCATTAATTAAACACTTACTATGGGCCAGATACAGAAGAGTTGACCAATGCATTATCTCTCTTCCCTTCCCATTTTCCTCTTATCCCCCCCTGGTTTCCT